TGCTGGATTATTCAGCTGTTTGACAGAGCTGACACGGTGCTGGATTATTCAGCTGTTTGACAGAGTTGACACGCTGCTGGATTATTCAGCTGTTTGACAGAGTTGACACGCTGCTGGATTATGAGGCTTCCCTCTTTAAATGGAATATTCCCATTTCTTGTGGAGAACATGTAAAAGTTTTTGGTGCTGTTTCTACAGAGATCTGCAAGATATTCAGACAGAGAGCGAGACTCATTTATCATCAGTCTCCCACCCATACACTCTCCTGTTAGCAAAATATGTCTTCGCTCTCTTCTTCCAAACCATTAAAGGTTAATTAGATCTCTATCTCAGAGGGATGTGATGTCTACTCCTGCTGTTCTATCATATTGGAATCACTTTTGGAATAATAAATCTTGGAATTTACCTGGTTGCTCCCAAATCTCTTTCTTCTCACTGACAAGGTCAAAGAAGTGTCCTTCAAACTCATCTGAAGAAGTCAACTCTGCTCCTTGTGTGACCTTTAACCTGAGTCCGTCACTCATTTGTTCTGGATGTTTCCTCATTGTAAAGAGTTTCGGCAACATTTCTATAACTCCGTTGACTCAAGACAGGCCAGCTTTCACTTGTACTGGGAACAGGTCCTGCTTGGGGCGAAACTAGTGGCAAAATGCGTCCGAAGGTTTTCTCTCTTTCTTTCTTTATCTTTATTTATACAGGTCGTCTCACTGAGCCTCGAGGACTCATTTTCAAGAGAGACCTATGAATCATTAACGCTAAATTTCACATAAACAAAGGCAAATTTTTGAAGAGAAAACCTGATTTCTCTGATTTTTTTGATTGAGTTTAAACAACTTTTCTTACAATTAGACCTTTGACTAATGAAAAAGCAGAAACAACAATAAGGGCTTATTGTTCCCAACTTGGAATCATGGACGAGTTGTCTTCAAGTTTCTCCTGTATGACTGTCATTTTCCTCTTGTTATAATTTTGTTTGATTTATGCTCCCCCTGCATTTCTTTCATTTGTTGCTCTTTGTTGTTATTCCCTGATGCAAATAAAGATTTAACAAAAAAAGAAAAAAGATTCGAGCAGACCCGCCCACAGAGAAAACCCCGCCCCTTGCCCACAGAGAAAACCCCGCCCCTTCATTTGAATCAGAATCAGTTTATTATCGTCACGTCAATGAACCACGTTCACAACTAGGAATTTGCTTCGACATAAGGTGCGAATAGTAATAAAGTTAAATAAAGTAAAATAAAGTAAAAATGAGAACATTACATAAGACCTGTGTACACCCACAAATAAAGTACAATTAAAAACATAACATAACCACGTGTACACCCATACAATAGAAAACAATAAAAAGCTTAGAAAACAGTACAGATGATAAGTACAGATTTGAATATAAGAACATTAAATAAAATGCGCTTAAAATGAAAAACGGGGATAAAAAAATAAAAGCCCCTGAAATATGTAAAGTAACTTTACAAAATAAAAGTGTCATATAAAAAGGAAACTCCATTATTAACTATATAAATTTCGAAATAAATATAAAATAAGTCTTGGAAAAAAACTAGGGTAAACATTTTAGTTTAAATGTTTTATTTCATGGGAACATTTGTTTATTTAATGGAATATTTATTAATAAATTTTAAATTATTTATTTATTTGAATGAATGAAATTTCTCTATAAATCATGGGACTAACTGTTGAAAACATTTGATAATAACGTGAAATCTGGAATAAAACGAAATGATAGGGATTAATACAATTTAAAAACTATTACGAAGTAATTACAAATTATTATTTTCTTGTTGTTTTGTTGTTGCTCACTTGTTCTATACTAAAGACATTACTTTGTACACGAGACGTCTCGCGAGATTCCACATTTCCCGCTGCCTAGTGTCGTGACGTCACGACGTTACTGGTCTGTGATTGGTCCGTTGGTCGAGATTTAAAAAGCGGACCGCGGAGCGGAGAGTGCCGCATTAAGCTAGCGTTAGCCTCAGCGGTTGATGGTTTTTGTCTTAAATTCGTTTTCCGGTGGGCTGAAGTTTATTCTACAGGCACCGAAAGTAAGTTTAGCTTTGATGCTATGTTCCTAATAAATCTAGTTTAATCCATGTTGAGGCCTAAATATGAAAGAGATGCGTGTAGAACATGCGGGAGCAGCTTTCATGCTAACACCAGAATAACAGTCAGATGTTGCAGGAATTTACTGTTGTTGTTTACTTCTAGTTCATGGAACCTGTGAGTGGTTGCACTGGTTATACTGGTTGTACTGGTGTTTACTTCTAGTTCATGGAACCTGTGAGTGGTTGCACTGGTTATACTGGT